GAAATACATTATTTTGCGTTAGTTGAATTTGTACCTAAAACTACCATTTTTCATATGCAGTGAATAATATGGAATGGTCCAGGGGATAAAAACAAACATTACTTGGGGGAGAAAAATCCTTGAATTCTCTCTTGCTGTTATGGCAAGAACACCGCAGCAGTCCTGGGAAGACCTGTGTCTGCTTCTCCCACACGCACCCTGCTTGGAGCAGGGTGAGGCCCAGTGTCCTGGGGCGAGTAGGCTTGAAGGGCTTGAGACGAGGAGGGCCATGCGGCAGGCAGCCCTCTTGTTCCTGGTGCTGTAATGGGAGCGGTCCTGATCCCAGGGCAGGGCTTCTGTGGGATCAGGACAGAGCCTGGTGTCAGCTTCCAGGGCCCTGGGCTGGTGCTGGTGCTGGCTCTCCTCAGCCCCATGGGAGCTGAGTGAGCTCCTCAGCCGCCTGAATGGTGCCTGCTTAACTGCTTTTCTGAGAGGAAACCAGGAGAGGATTGTTTTAGTGTCCTATTCACAGCTGGTTTTTTAATTTAAATGTGGTTTAAAATACAGTCAAGCATTTGAAAGCTGCTGGTAATGAATGGTTTTCAAGTGGAAGGGGAAGTGAGAGGAAAGGGAGGGAGCATGAGGACCGTGTAGCATGGCTGAGCAGTCCCACTTGTAGGAGAGGGTCAGAGAATACCCTCACTGCTCCGAGACTGCACGCACCCATGCAGAGGTGTCTGCCCTTGAGGCACTGGCAGTCTAGAGCAGAGGACACAGAGCACTTAGTGACACTGGGCTCTTAGGATGGAGCGTGTGCTGGGAGAGGCTGCGGAGACTAGAGCCCAGGGGCTGGGAGCTGGTTGCTGAAAGGCCTGCTGGAGTCTGCAAGGCTCAGAAGGAGGGAAGGGTGAGTGAGGTAGAGGGCAGGTAGCTGGGGGTGTCCATCCGCATTGGATAACTCTTATGAAAGGGGATGCATGAGGTGCAGTGTAAACATTGAACAGGAAACCCTGCTTAGTCCATGGGCCAGGAAACAGCCTTCCAAGAGAGGGTCATCTAGGCCGAGATATGGATGAGTAGATGTTTGCCAGGTGAAAATTAAACCGTGTTTTTCTTTTAAAAGCACATTTTATTTATGATATAATAACATTCAGGGCCTTAATAATTCCATTTCACTACATGAAAAATAGTAAATGATATACTTTTCTACATGAAGTAAATAGTTGGTGATCAATTCTCAGTCTTACTTGACTTTTCAGCAACATTTGACATTCTTCACTCTCTGATCCTATAATACCTCCTTTATGTGGTACCATCTGTATAGAAACTGTCACCAGCCCAGAGCCCTCCCCTGAACCCCACTCTCATTCATTTATCCAGTTAGATGTCTGACGCTTAAACTTAAACATGTCTTCAGACTCAACTCTTGACCTTCCTGTCAAATCCAGGGAATCCGTATCTCCTTAAATGACAGCTCCATCCTTTGAATTGCTCAGCCAAAAACCCAGCGTCCTTGACTCCTCTATTGCATTTTCCACGAGATAAATCCACTGCAGAACCTATCCAGATTCTCTCTACTTCTGGCCACCTCCACGGCTACTGTGCTGCTCCGACCTTGCCTGGATTGTTTCACTGGCCGCCCGGTGAAGCCTGTGGTCCCTGACAGGTGCTTCTCAGCACAGTGGACGAGGGCCCTCCTCTGGTGGGACCCTCCACTAGTTTTCCGTTTCCTGTAGAATAAGACCTGGAGACCAGGCTGTGCCCATGCTGGCCCTGGTCTCTGAGGCCATCTTCCTGTGTTCTCCCTTTTGCTATTTTTGGCTTTAGGCTGGTGACCTTGCTCTTCCTTGGATGTGCCAGGTTTGCTCCTGCCTTAGAGCTTGTGAACTCACTGCTTCCTCTGGATGCTTTCCAGACCTCTTCTCATGCTTGCAGCTTCCTCTTCAGGGCTTCACAGAAGTGTCACTTTTCAGTGATGTGTTCCTGGCCATCCTGTTTAGAAGTGTGTGTCTGTGCATGCACTCACATGCACACCCAGGCTGGCAATCTCGATCTCCTGTCCTGCTTGTTTTTAAATCGCCATCTGACGTACTGTGCATTTTATTTATCCCCTCCACCCCCAAGGGCAGGGAATGTTGTATGTTTAGTTTGATGCTGTGTATCCTCATCACCAAAGAACAGTGACTAGCATATAGTAGTGGGCTTTAAAAAATATTTATGACGAATGGACTGACCTGCTTAGAATCAGAAGGGCTCAGATCTCAGGCAGTTATCTCATGGAGAAATGGTAATGCCTAGGATGGTTGTGAAGATCAGGTAGATGGGCATCAGGGCATTGACTCCGGCATTCTTGGTCATTCAGATGTTGGCTTAATTTTTATAGAGTTCCAAACACAAATCTGAACTCAGGACTATTACGTTGAAGAAATTTCTTTTGCTGTTACTCTCCCCGTTCTTTGCCCATAGCTACTCTGTCTGCCGATCATTTCTTAGTTAAGACTGCTTTAAGATGTAAGAGTTTGATTTCCACATGTGAACTGGCAGATAAGAAGAAGTGTCATGGATTAGGTCACTTCTTTTTCACTTTTTTTATAGCATCATTAATAACCACGTCTTCCAGATAGAATTTAGAATCTTCTCTAGATTGAGGCTAGAAACAAAAGATCTCTTGGATCTCTCTTTGCCTGTGTTTTCTAGACCAAATGATGAAATGGTTTTCTGTTTTGAGACAGTAAGCTCAGGTTGAAGGCTTGTGGCGACTTTTAAAAACAAAGTGCCCTAGCAGGGCTGCGGCAGTGTGTTGCTGATGGCGGATAGCGCAGTCCGAGTGATTGGGGCATGGGCTTTGGGGTCAGGTTCCAAGTCCAGCTCTGCCACTTACTGGCCGCAGGACCTGGGGCAGTGTAGTTTATCATCTGAGGCTTAGTTCCCTCAGGTAAAATGCGATAAAAGAATCCATCTCACAGGGTGGTCCTGACTGTTGAATGATGTATGTTCTGGAGTGCCCAGTGTAGTGCACAGCACACAGTAGGTCCTCAGTTTAAACTTAGCTGTCATTGTTTTTATGGTGTAGAGGTTTTTGTGACATCTGTCTCCCTATTTCATCATCTGAGTTGAATGAAATTTAAATTGTTATGCTTTTCTCAACCAGCCTTGGTGGTCTAGTAGTTAAGATTCAGGGCTCTCACTGCTATGGCCTGGGTTCGTTTCCTGGTCAGGGAGCCACACCACCTGTCTGTTGGTTGTCACACTGTGGCGGCTGTATGTGGCTGTGATGCTGAAAGCTGTGCCACTGGTATTTCAAATACCAGCGCAGTCACCCATGGTGGACAGGGTTCAGACTCAGACAGACTAGGAAGAAGGACCTGGCCACCCACTTCTGAAAAAACTGGCCATGAAAACCCTGTGAATAGCAGCAGAGCATCGTCTGATACAGCACCGGAAGGTGAGAGGATGGTGCAAAAAAGATCAGGCAGGGTTCCACTATGCTGTACCCAGGGTCACTAGGAGTCAGAATCGATTCAACGGCGCTAACAACACAAGTGCCTTCCTTGAATCTCTTCGAGTTTTAAAGCACTGACAGGGGATAGCCTAGAACGTTATTGGTCTTAATTAGCATTCTGTGTTGAGTGCAAGCCCTTAACTGCGTAAGTGTTCCTCTGGGTCCTGGAGGAAAGGCTGTTTCTGGGGCAGAGCAGTCTGCAGGGGAGGGTTTGGAATAAACTGCCTGTGAGACTTGGGAGCAGATTTGCCAGTATGGTATAATTTTTCGGACGGAATCTATGTTAAGAAAGTGCGAGTCTCGCTGTTGAAGGCTTGATGACATCACCTCCTGACCAAGGCATCCCCACAGTCTGAGTCCAGCACCTGAGCTCAGGTGACTTCATGGGCCCCCATGTCTCTCAAGCCGACATTGGCACTAACGAAATGCTGAAATTGTGGACGAGTGATTTTCCAGAGTAGGAAATGTCCCCCACCAGTTGAGAATCACTTCTAATGAGTACTAGTACTGATGAGAAGGTAGTGAAAAAATTACCATCTCTGACATCTAGAGCAGATTGGGAGCTTGTCCACCCATTTGCTTCTTCAGCAAAGATTGCAGATACTGTGTAGATGCTGAGGATGGAGATGAACTGGGCAGGGTCCCTCCTCTTGAGCGTCTCTGCGGGGAAGACAGAAGCAAACACAGGGCATTGTGATAAGCACCAGGATAGAGAGACCGAGAGTGGGAAGGAGCATCTAGCTGGGTCTCAGGGTCAGGAGACCCCCTGGGGATGGCAGCCAGGCTGCATCTCACAGCTGAGGAAGGAGGATGGATTCACAGAGAATCAGTTTGGACTGCGTCTCATCCTGGACTCGCCTTGCTTTGTGACATAGGCATGCTCCAGGTTAGAAATTATTAAAGCTGGTAGCACAATTGATCACTCAAGATTGTATTTGTTTGGTAGTTTGGATTGTGATTATCACATTTTCTTAAGGGATTACATATCTGTATTTTACTTTTTCATCTGGTGGTTTGCATTGTTAAATTTTCTTGTAATCCATGGTCAAATTTATTGGGAAAGATTTACTTTGTTCCTTTGCTGACCCCTACTGGGAGAAAAGTATATAGTAATCTTCAGAAGTGATGTGTATGTGTATACACTGAATTGTAAATTTCTGTTTACTGTTTTTATTCCCCCCAGACACTAAGCTCTGTCTGCCTTGTTAACCTCATATGTAGCGCCTACCACAGAGTAAGCACACAGTAGGTGCTCGATAGATATCTGTTGCATATAGAAGTAATCAGTATCAATAATTGAGAAATTGTATGGTGTTTGAGATTCTGTGTGAAAGCTAATAATGCTGTTTTATAAAATTTTTAAATTGGCCTTCAGAATGAATGTGGGCGTCGTGCGTACTCCCATATATCTAAGTATGAAAGTGACTAACTCAGGGAGCATTTTTAATAGATTAGACCTGAGTTCTAAGCTCTTTCTTTGTGCCATCTAAAATCTGAAAAACTCATACTTTTTCCCCAGGATCTTTACCTTATATAGTAAATCTTTGCCCCTTGATCTGGCCTGTCGTATATGGGATGTGTTCTGTCGTGATGGGGAAGAGTTTCTGTTCCGCACGGCCCTGGGCATCCTGAAGCTGTTCGAGGACATCCTGACCAAGATGGACTTCATTCACATAGCCCAGTTCCTGACGAGGCTGCCTGAAGACCTGCCTGCAGAAGAATTCTTTGCTTCCATTGCTACAATTCAGATGCAAAGTCGAAACAAGAAGTGGGCTCAGGTAAATGGATCTTTTTGTTTCCCTTTTTCATAGAGTAGCTGGCTCAGTAGTATAATTTGGGAAGTACATTATTCAGAGTGCTCTTTGAAAAAACAGTCATTTCTAAAGTAGTTCTTGGGCTGGAAGTGAGGAGACCTGGGTTTGAGGCTTGTCTCTGCCATGAGGTCTTGGGCAGTCATTTCGTCTTTGGCTCTCTGTCAGATGGAGGGAGTGGATAATAAAAGCCTTCCCACCCATTCTGCAGTGGCATTGAGAGGTCAGAACTTCTAGTCTGCCGTCAAGGTACCCTCCATCTGTTGGAAGCGTTTTGTAAACCAAGCTCCTCTCTTCTGCCCTTTTTCTAAATGCCAGAGACAGAAAGTGAAGGGTACTGCCACTCACTGAGCACCCCCTCTACATCTCCCCGCCACCCCCCGTGGGTGTGCCCTGGGCTGGGTGGGTAGGATTGTCTCCATCTCGCTGATAAACACAGGAGGCTGAGAGAGGTGAACCGGGTACCCTCAGCATTCACTTGAGGAGGGTGGGAGGATGGCTTCCCAGGGCAAAGGTCCTGCCCTGGTTTCCCTGGTATGTGTTGCTCTGGCTCTCTAGTGGCTAGGTTAGCGGAGCAGCTGAGCTGATAGTGAAGGAGCATGTCCAGCCTGGGCCTACTTCTAGGTTGCTCTCTGGACGTCTCTCTTAGGTCTTGTCCCTGTGGGATTGGCCAGTGTTGTCTGAGTCCAAGTCCTTATCATGCAAAAAGGAAAACATAAAACCTTGGTTCTTGACCCTGCATATGCTCCAGATTTGCCTGACAGGTCCTAGTTGGTTGATATCTGTGGAGGCTTGTACTTTCCCATATATGGCAAACAATGCTTGTTCCTGATTTGCCTTTTTTTTTGGTGAGGAAGATTAGCCTTGAGCTAACATCTGTTGCCAATCCTCCTCTTTTTGCTGAGGAAGATTGGCCCTGGGCTAACATCTGTGCCCATCTTCTTCTGTTTTATATGTGGGACGCCACCACAGCATGGCTTGATACGTGGTTCGTCTGAACCCGCAAAGCTGGGGCCACCGAAGCAGAGTGCGCAAACCCAACTGCTACACCACCGGGTCAGCCTCTGATTTACTGTTTTTATTAGTGGAAGATTTAAAATACATACAAAACAGAATACCAGACCCCCATGCACCTGTCAGATATCCAGTCAGTTTTCAGATTTCTAATTGTTTCAAGTGTCATCAGTGGCTTTATATTTTGTTTGAATCAAGATCCAAATAACGTCCACCTGTTGCGATTGATTGAAAGATCTTTTAAGTCTTTTTTAAGTATATAGGCTACCCCACCTTTCCTTTTATTCCCCCTCCCTTTATTTATTGAAGAATCGAGGTCATTTGTCCTCTAGTGTTTCCCACAGTGTGGTTTTGCTGGTTGTATCCCTGTGGTGGTGGTTAATGTGGTCCTCTCTATACTCTGTGTTTCCTGTAAATTGACAGATCTAAAGGCTTGATCAGGTTCCGAGTTTTTATGTTTGGCCTGATTACTTCATAGGTGATCAGACTATCACTCTTTGATCTTAGCAGCTTGTTTTTATAACAGCTTTATTGAGATGTAATTTACGTACTATAAAATTCACCCTTTTAAAAGTGCCTGGTTATTAACTAGAGAGAGGCTTCCCCTCTCACCAGGGCCCTTTGTCTTGCCTCCAGAGGTGTTCCTTTCTCTCCTTCCTGTCCCGTTATGCGATGCTCTCTTTGGCTGGCAGACTCCCTTCCTGTCAGTGTCTGTTGGGAAGAGGCACAGGTGCTGTGATGGGACCTTGGATAATACCATGACATACTCTTCTTGATTTTATGGAGAGGGGGCACTGTTGGGTGCCTAGGGTGATATGAGTTGCGCTTCTGAAATACTAAATACATTAGGTTCATAAAAAGGAATGAAGTACTGATACATGCTACAGTGTGGATGAACCTTGAAAACATTATCCTAAGTGAAAAACCCAGACACTAAAGAACACATACTGTATGATTCCATTCATATGCAGTCCAGAACAGGGAAATCTGTAGAGCAGAAAGCAGATTAGTGGTTATCAGGGAATGGGGAGATATGGGGGCCAGGGCAGTGGGAGCTGGAGAATGTGGGGTTTCTTCTGTAGGTGACAAAAATGTTCTAAAATGACTGTGGTGATGGTTCCACGTATCTGTGAATAGACTAAAAACCATTGAATTTTACACTTTAAATGGGTGAATTATGTGATATGTGAATTATATATAAATAAAGCTGTTAAAAAATAAACTCAGCTCAAGTGTGAGCAGAACTGGCTATATAATTATCAAGGATCTGATGAGAGGGAGGAGCTTTTCTCTGATAAATAAATGGACAGTGTCTAATGAAAATGTGGGGCCACACATTCAGAATTATTAAGAATTTCAAAATGGCGACTGCAGAGCATTAAGCTAAGCGGGTCCCCCTCTGAGTTTGGGGCCCTTGCTGACAGCCCAGGGTGCACACCCATGAAGCTGGCCCCATGTGTGAGGATGTGCTTTGGAGTCTTCCCTGATGGGGTTGCATATAGTGGTTTTCTGAAGCAGCTGCAGAAAGCCAGGGCCTTTTCCAGTGGCCTTTATTCAACACATAGGACTGTTGCTACCTTGACTTTCCAGCTGGTACAGTCACGGCTCTGCTGATCTTCCTTTCTATTTCACTGGTGCTTCCGCCCACCCGCACATACACACACCGAGGGGAGGGTTAAACCCAGATCTGTCATTTTGCTTCTTATGTTTTAGGGACTAGGTAAAAATTATTCGTTAAAACTAGGTCAGAGGTTATTGAATAGTAGGACGTTTTCTAATAATGGGTTAGTGATAGGAGTTAGCCTGACGGTGGCTGTGGGGGATGGGCATCAGTGAGTAGTATACAGTTCCAAGTCCCATGGGAGTTGTGGTCCACACACATTTCTCTTAAATGCTGTTCTTAAGGTTAAGACCTTGGTGAGCTTTACAGAACAAGCAGATGTTTACGTTTGGTTGGCAGTCCCATTTACTTAGAGGAGAGGGGGACTTTTATCTACCATTAGTCCTTCTGTGCAACTTATTTGAAACCTACATAAATGTTTCTACTTTACCCCTTCTAATTTGTCATTCAATTAAAGTGGCAGAGTGCCTGGCAGGAGTAGATGAGCACTGGTGCTACAAAGATTCTCTTGGTTTTGAAATCAGACAAATCTGGGTTTGAATCCGTGTGAGCTGTTTGACTTGGAGCAAGTTCTTCCTGGGAGCATCTGTTGCTCGGTTTCCTTACAATGAGGTATTAACCTTCCCGAGCTGCTTGTGGATTAAACAGATGCTGTGCATGAAGTGCCTGGAGGAGTGCTCTGCTTGGTGTAGAGTGGGCATTCAGTAAGTGGAGCCTGTTGTTATTGTCACCACTGTTATTAAGCAATCACAGTAGAATATAATATTTTAAAAGATACAGGTGTTAACCAAGAGCTGAGAGAGCACAGAGAAGGGAACTGAGTTACTTTGAGAAAGCTCAGGAAGGCGTGAGAAGAAGTGATGTCTGTTAGGCCTTAAAACGATGCAGTGTTTCTGGGGAAGAGGAGGGACAGAGCAGCGGGAACAGCTGCGTGTAAAGGCCAGGAGGGCTTCTTAGCATCCTGGGGTGGGAAGCCTGGCCTGGTGGTGGCGCGCACACAGGCTGGATCTGGATTGTGGAAGGAGGAGAGCCCTGTAGCCCTGACGTTGGTACTGTGGCTCGTGGGCAGTGGTTGTAGGACATCAGCCCAGAGATGGCTGGTTGGATTTCCATGTTAGGAAGATGAGTCTGGCTGTAGGCGGGGAAGACAGAACAGGAGCGGCAGCCGTGGGGAGGCAGAGGCGCCAGTTAGGAGGCTGCTGCGGTTGCTCTGTCACTACCCCTGTCAGGACCTGTGCTCAGTGTGTGTTGCAGATCACCCACAGACATCTTCCCTGTGGTTCCCAGGTACTGACTGCATTGCAGAAGGACAGCCGGGAAATGGAGAAAGGAAGCCCATCTCTCAGACACTGAGGCGGCAGGTGGACTTGTGCTCGGCACCAAAGCAGATCTCCATGCAGCACCTGTGTTGTTCCAGATGGACATGCTGGCAGCTGAGAAGAACAGGGGCTATTTTCATGTTTGATTCCTAACATTGGAGTTGGCCTTAAACAAAACAAACAAACAAACTTTTAAAGAATTAAACCAAGGCTTAGCCTTAAGAAGCTCAGTGGAGTGATGACCTAGTGCTGACCATGGCCAACCACTGCGTATTCTGCATGGTTTAAAAATAGGGCGGTGGCTCATTCCCCTCCACCCCCTTATTTCAGCAAAAGTTAATTAAATTGTAATGCTTCTACGTCAGCTACTGGAAGGAACATTACACTGTTCCTTGGTGCATGGGAAATGTTATTTGGGAGACCTCAGAGATGTCATTGGCTCATATTTGCATATTTTAGGCAAGAAAGGGATGGCTGATTTAGTTATTGAGATAATCTTTTCAAAGCTTGAGGTCGTGTTTTTAAAGCCCACCTACCAATGATAACATTAAAAGAAAATGGGCTCTCGTAGGATAGTCGCCGATGAGTGCTCATGGGCTCCCCGGGCCTCAACCTGACCTTCAGGTTGATGTTTTACTGTGTTGCCCTAATAAGATTACAGCACGAGGGCTGAAAATGCACCCTTATGTTCCAGTGGGAACCCTGCTTCCCAGAGATTGCTCCCTACATCTATTGAGCAGGAAGAACTGTTGGCACAGAAGGCCTGTGACAGTCGAGACAGGCTTAAGAGCTGATGGAAAACAGAATGGAAACAGCCTCCCTTTAAGTCAAAGGGGAGGGAAAGAGGATGTTAAGACCTGCCTACTCCTGTACCCTACTCATTCTTTGGAGGCCAGGGAACAACACAGCTGGGGGAAGCTCCTGCCTTGCTCTGATGGAATGCTCCTCTTTCCTTTGTCACCTGAACGGCAGGATCCGTCCTGAGTGCCAGTGATGACCTCCTCACGCATTGAGCATGAAGACAGACAGTTGTAAGGACTGAGGACTGAGCAACACACACCCAACAGCCCAGACGGTCTTGACAGAATCCTCAATATCCGTAGTATCAGCCTTTCCCCGTTTTAGCTGGTTTTCCCCAAGTTCATTAGCAACTTTGTTCTAACTTTTCCTTGACTAATTTTGGTAACTTTATATTAAGAACTTTGGTTATCCAAATTCAAGGAAATGAACAGTGTTTGCACAGACTAGTCCAAAAGACAGGCAAATCTCTGTGGAGACGGGTTCGCACGTGTAACCTGTTGGCGTGTTGGTCTCTGTGAGTGCCGGGGAGACCAGGTTCTGGGGCACTGTTAGTTGTATGGTAAGTGCTGTGGTGTAGTCTGGCACTCTCCAGCCCTTCTCAGCCATACTTCTCACCCCAGGGAGCGTCCCACGGTTGATCTCATTTCTGATTTGGGAGCGCCCTCGGCTCTGAGAGTTTAGCATACAACAAGAAGACATGGGGTGGGGGATAAAGCCTAATACGGCATTATTTTTATAGGTTTTCTATATCTGCCATGTCCACTGATGACACTTCTAGGTGCAATAGCAAGTTGCTGAGCCAGTGGCCATCCTCATGCCTTCCATCCCAGCTCTGTTCCTTGTGTTGTTTTTCTTAGAATTGCCTTTTTCACCTCATATTCTTAACTGAATTCTCCAGGGAGGTTGCAGAACATCATGGGTAACACCTTCTGCCTCAGCCTTTAAACGCTGACTTGCCTGACCTCTTGGAGGAGGCGTTCTGTCTTCACCGAGGTCTCAGCACCTTCCAGACGCAGCCATTCCCTGACATCACAAAGCTGAATGTAACCCAGACTGAGCCAGGCCTGGGAGACGGGCTGCTGAGCCCCATCACACCATTCCTCGCCCGTGGACTTTGTTTTGTTCCATGACTTTCTGTTCTTAAAAGATGTATATATTTTCTTACTGTACATACAGATGTTCCTTAAGTCATGACAGAAAGCAGTGTGACAAGGGGCGGTGTGCAGTTCCTTCAGAATGCATTTGTGGAACTTCACGTGTAGTCAAAACCCAGCCCTAGCGTTTTTGTCCAACAGTTTGACCTAAATCTTTTTGAATAGCACCATTTATGCATTAAGCTTTTAAACAAGATTCCATGCCCATCCGGAATACCTACCAAATCTTTAATTCAGAACAGGTTTTCCTGACCTGTTCAGGGACCACATGAGGTCTTGCTGGTTTGATGCTTCTGCTTCAGAGGCCGGGAAGTCCTAAGTCCCTGTCCAGGGTCACGTGGCCCCTTTCCACAGAGCGTTGTGCTTCTCTGTGTGACGTTATCGTTTAGGAAAACTGGAATCAGAAATGGAAATGCCGCACCCCTCGCGAGTCTGCGCTTTCCCCTTCCCAGGCCATTGCTTTCAGAATCCAGGACTTCAGGTTCAGGACCTCTGTGGAACTGGCACTTTAGAGTCAAGAGCTGCGTCCCCACTCGTCCTTGAAATCTCATCTAGAAACAATGTTCACTTGAAAAGGTACTTTTTAACTGCTCAGTTTTTGACTATTTTAAATAGTTTGCTGATAGAAAACTCCTCATAACACTTGCTACATATCATGTTTTAATTGCTTGTACAGTTAACCTTTAATTTTATTTAGTAAACTATCAAATTAGGACTTTTTGAATTGTAAATATGTGGTTTTATTAAATAAAAGTCATGTAAAATTGTTACTTATGTTCACTGTAGTTTGGTTTAAAATTGAAGTTCTCACCTTGAAGTACGGCAGAAATTTGACTTTGAGCATTGTGCTGTTTGAGTATTTTAAAATCCACATATTAGGCTCAGTTAAATCAAAAAGATTGTACAGTTATGGTAATTTGATCAAGGGATTCGAGACTTCAGTGTGCCCCTTCCAAGCTGAAGAGGAATCCCAAACTCGCTGCTCCTCTCAGGCTTGACCTCTGCCTGTGGCTTTAACCCCCGTCTCCCCCAGGCCCGCGTGTCTGCCACACTCCCCTGCTCACACTCCCAGAGCCTGGCGCCCCGGCCCAGCAGGTAGTCAGTGCTTACTTTGTGCCGGCCACTGGGCTCTTCCCACTGTCCTCAGAAACCTGCTCAGAGCCTTGTAAAGCAGGTGCTGAGGTCCAGCTCCACCACCAGTCGGAGGGTGACTGTGGGCTCTTCCCTGGGCCGCTGTGTGCCTCCGTTCCCACCTGTGGAGTGGAGGTGAGTCATGCTGCCGTGGCAGTGAGCGTGCCATGGTCCGCAAGGTCGCTTAGGACCAGGCAGAGCAAGTGCTCACGTACTGGTGGTGCTCTTCAGGCCAGCTACTCCGGGGAGGCTCAGGGAGGAGCAGGTTGAGTCCCAGCTAGAAGGTGCGGAGCCCTCAGGGCTGCTTTCTCTTCTGTGCCCTGGTTCCCAGGAGAATCCTTGTTCTCCATGACTCTCACCTGAGCAGACGCTGCTGCCCCTCGTGTGTTGCCCTCGGGCTTCCTAGGGCCTGTGCTGGGGAGCTCTCCACCCTGTCCCCTTCCTGGCCTCCCTGCCTGTCTTCCCTCAGAGACAGAGCAGCTTGCGGGGCATTTGCTCAGATGTCTTTGGCCCCCGCACAAGGCTCAGAAACAGTGCCCTGCCCTTCTCACGAGTTTCACACGAGTGGACTGCTTCGCCTCTTTGGGCCTCTGTTTTTTTCTTCCATTCTCCACAGGCTATGAGGTGAGAATGACAGACGAAGGTGGTCATCGTTGACAACAATCATGTTTGTCGGGGGTTCGCTTGGTGTTCCACTCATGCCAGATCCTGGGCTAAGTGCTTTGTGAATGACCTCAGTTATCTCCACAGCAGCTCTGTCACTGTCCCCATTTCAAAGGTGTGACTCAGAAAAGTGATCTCCTTGGGCTCCTACAGCCGGTTAGTGGCAGAGCTGGGGTTCAGGCTCGGGCCTTGTGGCTCCTGAGCCCTCGCTCAGAAACACCCCTCCTCAGAGAACACGTTGGCTTTGGGGCCTTTGGCAGCCTTCCTTCTCTAGCTCTGACCTCAACTCCAAGCGCAGGGTCTGGGGTGAGCCCTGGATTTTACTTACTGGCCTGAGTGCCTCCTGTGTGCAAGGCACCATGCCCACTGGGAAGGAGGCAGAGCCACACCCTACTGCTGGCTCTTGGGGGAGGACCTCGGGGAAATACAGGAGCAGTGGGGGTAGAAGTTGTGGAATGTTTTCCCAAGAGAAACTCGGGGGCTGACAGTTCAAAAATCACCACCCAAAGTGTGGAGCCTGCCACAAAGGCAAGAGAGGGAATGAGATGCTGCACTAGTGTGGGGAGACAAGGTGACACCAAGTTGGACCTTGAGATGAGCCGTTGGCCTCCAGGTGGACCAGCAGAGGGAAGCCCTTAGAGCCAAGGCAAGTCCTCAGATGGGGCCGCCTGAAGCTCTAGAGCACTTACCCACCCACTCACCCAGTAACTTGGCCATGACTTAACGTCTCCAGATATTTCTGAGAGGCCTGGAGCGCCACTCTGTAGTTCACATTTTGCCATGGGATCCTCCAAGAGCAACACCGCCTTTGCAGCCAGCTTGCTCTAGCAGGGGCTGCTCCACTGGCCATAGCCATGCCAAGGCTCTCCCTGTCTTCAGGACTAACTGCCAAAGCCCCTTTTCCCAGGATGCCTGAGCCCTGTAGGGTTCCCTGTGGAGGGAGGGGCAGTGGCCTCCTCCTCGAACAACACAACAAAACAAGATACCCCTTGGCTTGATGCCAGAGCCTCACAGTATTTCTTAACATTGGTCTTTCAGCTTCTTGACCCTGCTCCCAAGCTCCTGGTAGAAACTACTCCAACCAAAAATAAACCCAAGTTTACAGTGCAGTTTGCCTAGAAGTTAAGAGCAGGAAAATTTAAATGCCCTCATTTTCCTTTTCTGTGACCAAAGGTTAAAAAGGGTCCCTAGCACCTATCCACTGGCTCATGAGGATTAAAATAATCTAAGATGCTGAACTAATTGTATCATTAAAAGAAACATTGCCATAGGTAGCTAGAACCATGCTCTAGACTTGTAAACTTTTAGTATCTTGCACTCTTGGTGAACTTATGAATTTAAAAAATTGGGAATTTTTTCTCTAAATACATATTCATTGTATAAAATTTAGAAATACAGAAAAGCACAAAGAAAATAAAAATCATAATTTCACCACCCGGAGAAGAGAAAAGTTTTTTCATATTTGGACCTTTTTTCCTATAAATAAAGGTATCCCCATTTTATAAGTGAGTACACTGAGACTTAGAAAGTTGAAGTGTTTATCCCAGGTCACAATCAGAAGAGAACTGAATCCAGGTCGGCCTGATTCCAAAGTCTTTGTTCTCAAGCACTACACTGTGTCTTCTTCTAGATACCTCTTTGTATTCATCCTTGGCATTCTTGGGGTGAAATATTAGAAAACTTCATCAATTAAAAAGTTAAGGAGAGGGCCGGCCCCGTGGCTTGGGGGTTGGGTGCGCGCGCTCCGCTGCTGGCAGCCCAGGTTCGAATCCCGGGCGCGCACCGATGCACCGCTTCTCCAGCCATGCTGAGGCCGAGTCCCACATGCAGTGGCTGGAAGGATGTGCAACTACAACATGCAGCTATCTACTGGGGCTTTGAGGGGAAAAAAAAAAAGAAAGTTGAGGAAGGTGTTAACTTATTCACTAAAATATGCATATATTTAATCATTGGTTATTTAAATAAAAACTAGACCCTTTGAAAGGAATATTACATGGGAAGTAGGAGACGGGAACTTGTTGTTCCTGCCAGTCCTGGCTCCTGCTAGCTTCTGTGACGCTTCACCCCTACATGACAGAAGAAGTCTCCTGTAGTCCTGTCCATTCATAGCATTTGCATGATTTATCACTGACATTAAGACTATTGGAAAGTTGAAAACGTAAAAAGCACCAAATTGGGGTGCATTAATTCTGATGTTATTTTATGGACAGGCACCCCCCACCAGTGGCAAAAATCTAAATTATGGATGCAGGTGAAATTATAAAAAAAGAAAGCATATATATATTTCCACTTATATAATTTAAAAATCTCAAAAGTGGTAAGTCACCAAGTGATTTTTGTTTACCAATGAGAAAGTGTTTCTTTTTCAGATGCCTCGGGCTCTATCCAGGTAGTGCCCGATTCACTTCTGCCAGTGGTCCCAAAAACAAGCAGAAAACCTTCTGCAACCTCCAAGGGGACACCAACTCAGACTAATTTTTAAAAAGTCTAGTTTCATATAATATCTCACTCAGATTTTATTGTGCCTGCATTTTCAGGCCCTGTACTCTTTGACAAGGAGATGAAAAAATGTTTAAGCTTTGATTTTAGCATTCATAAAATAATCTGTTTTAGAGGTTTCTAGTCCAGCCTCCAGCATCACTGGAGAAATCCCCCTCAATGGAGTCCACGCTGGGATGGAGAGCTCTGATCTGTAGTACTGTCCTTCCATGACTACAAGCCTGCCTCCCCGTCATTTCCCTCAGTGGTCCTACTTGAGAGAGCTTCTTTCTACCCGAAATTATTTTTTAATCTGACATAGGGCTTATCAATGCCTGATATATAATAGGCATTCAAGTAATACTTATGTTCAGAAAATGAGACTGGGATTATGTTAATCCAACAAATTGAGCACTGATTATGTGCTAGGTAGGCACTGTGCTGGCTGAGAGGGAGGATGATAAGCCAACAGTCCTTGCCTTCCAGGGCCTCTGTCTCACTGGGGCACAGAGAACTAGACAATCACAAAGCAGTGGGTCAGAGGCGGGCATGGGGCGAAATGCAGGCTGCTGTGGGGCACAAAGAGGCACATCAGCAAGACTGTGGGTGAGGGTGCTTTCGGGTTTGTGGCGTTCTTCCTCAGAAGCAATCTATCTTAGAAACAATTTGTCAATGTGTTGCTATTTCATGATTAAGAGCTCTCCTGTAATCTAATTAGAAGAACCCTGTTATGAAGTAATCAACAGAAGATTATTTATCTTCTAATTAATTGTAACATCTGCAGCACGAGGTAATATAATTTGAGAGAACATCGGTGACTTTGCAGCTTAAAGCAATGCCAACCTCATCAGTCTCTGTGTCTTTATGCTTTCAGAGATCTGCTTGTCACCCAGTTCAAGGCCGACGAGGGGTGTTTGGTTCTATGTGGGTAACTGCCTGCCAATGGGTCAAAATCAGCTGAAAATACCTATTCTCCCTCTAGTGAACCAAAGGGATGGACACGCTAGAATGAAGGCTGCTTGCTTGGTGAGGGCACCGAGCATATTGCCAGTTTCACTTGGAAGCCTTGCCACCACAGAAGAACCCAGGGGGCCTGTGCTGCTTTTAATTTGAAGCACAAAGAAAACAACGTTGTATTTGCCAGTGATTTACTACTTCACTTTGGTCTGATAAACGGGGTAGAGGGAAGGAGAATCATAGAGGATAAGGAGAATAGAAGCAGGAAGTCAATTTTTCACTCCCCTCTTTGTGTTTGTGTGGTGTGATAAGTACAATATAAGTGTATTCACGCTGTGGAAGTTAGAAAAGGAATTTTAATCAGCGTTTATTGGCTTCAAAGGGAACACACTTTAGAAAAGAAAATCTTGTCATCAAAAGATAGTTGTTTTGACATTCTTATGACCGAGTCATCTGCCTAGATGGGGTTTCCACCATTCTTTAAATGTACTTAGCACCCAAAAATAGATCACTCTTCTTATGATCCACTTAAATTTAGAGGTGGGAGAATACTTTTAATCCTAAATCTGCACTTCTCAAAATTCAACCTAAGATTAATAAATCCAAGCTCCTAGCTCCAAAAGCATCAAAGAAAACTGAAAAAGTTAATCACTGGTTAAGGGGATAGACCTATCAGGTATGTCTTACATTAACACAAGGAATAACAGACATTTTGATAGAGTAAAATGATGTGCATAGCCAGGGTCCTGTTGCCAAGATCCAAAAATATCTTCCTAAAAACAAAAGGCTTATGGACAGTCAGCAGTCACCACTCCATATATTTTGCACCTGGCAAAACACACAATACAATCATCATTTTGTCTTCACTGGAAAACAAAATTTCATTTTTTTTGTACCAATGAATGCATTTCTTTAGCAGATCCAGGAAAACGTCTGATTAGAATTGAAGACTGTCATTGAGCCAGAAACAAACATGTAATGGTTACACAGACCAAGCCTCCTTTCACTGAAAAAGGAAAGATGAAGGAACATCAGCTCCTTTTCCTACTTATCATTTCTCCTATTTCCTGGATATTTTTTATTATCCCAGAAGCTAGTGCTACTTCCATACAAAACAATTTCAGATTAATCTAAAAGGGAATTAGTGAGCTTTGAATTGAGATAGTGACTCAGGACTACACAGTTTAATACATTCAAAGGGGATTTAATAATTAGCTTAATGCACAGGAATTTTTTTGGTACCCCGCCCATTTGTTGAACCCTCCTCCATATGGAAAAGGAACAGTTCTCAGTATCAGGTCACTGACATTATGGAACTGCTCAGATATAAAAAGGCTTTTGACAGCTTTTTATGAGAAGTCAGGTACATTAAATCATCTCTGTTGTTTGCTTCTCTAGACCTATTTTACTTCAACCTACGTAAAACTGACTGCTAACCCAATTTTGTGTTAGCGCTAATTTGGAAACTGAAAAATTATGAGAGAAATACAAAATATAGTTCCATCCCAAATATCATAGGCCTTTTGAAGAATGGCAACAAATGGAGAATGAGAGTTAATGAAGGATGAAGTTTGCTGAGATGGAAGATGTTCTGCCAACTCTTCTCCTGAATCGTGTCAGGAGGGGAGAAAGGCTCTGGCTTCCCTGATCTTCTGCTTCACGCCTCTGCAGGACAGAGTAAGCCCGGCGTGATGGTGCTTCAGGGATTCTAAGCGCTGCTGGAGCAGTGCAGTCCTGTCCACCTTCTCTTCCAGGTCCCGGAGGAGTGATTCCTTGCCCAGAAGCCCACACTTCTGATTCAGCTTGATGTTGTCAAGCCGCAGGCTGTCTCGGGCTTGCTTAGTCTTAGTCAGGATGTCCCTCCTTAGGGCCACCTGAGCTTCAATTTCCAACAGTTGTGACTTTTTGCATGCATTTTCTATCTCCACAAAGTGTAACTTTTCCTTCACATGCGTTATTATTTGCACATTGTTGGTCACCTTGTTGCGCAGTTTCAGAAGCTCCTCATTTCGCTCCTCAACTTTCTCATTGAAAGTCTGGTTCTCAATCTTAAGCTGTTCAAAATCGATGAGGAGAAGGCCCTCAGTCAAGTCCTCCTGGGCCCTCATCCTGGTTTCAAAATGCACCAAGTTCTGCTTCAGCTGCACGTTTTCCAGCCTCACAGCGCTCATCTCCTTCTCCTTCCTGTCCTCCAATGCCTGGATCTGCTCCACTTCTCGCAGAGCGGCCTGGCGACCGCCCCTCATGCGACAGCTGCCCATGGCCTGCATCACCACCTGCTTCTTGAGTGCCTGGAAGCCTCGCCACTCCTTCTCCACCCTGGAGAGCTTCTCCTCGCACTGCTGCTTCAGCCGGTCCAGCTCCTGGTGATACCAGTCCAGGTCGTCGGCCTGCTGCTTCCTCAGCTCCTCCAGCACGGCCAGATGGCGTAGGTATGCCTGCTCCTTCTCGGGGGCCTCAGGCTCCATGCCCTTGTCCGGCACGTCGGCCGCATCCAGGCCCTTCTTCTTGCGCAGCGCCTCGGAGATCTTGTGCTGCAGGTAGATGTTGTAGCGCTGGCAGCGGCTCCGCTCCACCATCAGGGAGCGGTACTGTTCCAGGAGCTCAGAGCGCAGCTGCTGCTCCTGCAGCTTCTTGACCTCCTCGCTCCACTCGTAATCCTCATCCTCGAGGGCGTCGTCCAGACCTCTCGGCTCTTCCTCGGTTTTCGCCCGGCTTCCTTCCACACCCTTCTCGCTCTCCTCGCTCTCGTCCTCCTCCGGTTCCTCCCGCTCAGCCTCCCGGGCTGGCGCAGCCTCCTCCTGGCCGGCGGTGGACAGCGGCAGAGAGACCTGCGACGGGGCTTCCTTCCTCTTCCCACCCTCCGCCGCCCTCTCTTCTTCCTCCTCCTCCTCCTCCTCCCCCTCCTCCTCCTGGGGTTCCTCGGGCCCGCCTTTGGACGTCGGCTTGGCTGGCCTGTCAGGCCCGGCCTCGGCCGGCCACTCCGGCTCTCCGGGCACCTCCTCGCCCGCAGCCTCGGCGGCCGCCAGCCCCTCCCGAGGCTCGGCCGGGTCGGCGGGCTCGGCCGTGGCGGCTCCTCCCTCCGAAGCCCCTACAGTCTCTGGCTCCGGCTCCGCAGCGTCCGCGGGTTCGGCCGGCGACTGCGGGCCAGAGCTGGCCTTGATCCCGGACAGCCGCGAAGCCAGGCTCTCCACATCTCCGTCGTCGCCCTCGGAGTCCCCATTGTGCTCGGAGTGGCCGTCCATCTCCCTCCGGCTGGGCCAGCGCCGCGGACCCGAGCGGCCGGCTGTTAGGTTTCCCGGGGCAACCAGGGGCGCGCGCGGTGGGCCCGGCGATTGGCCAGGCGTCAGCCCGATGCCCTGCCCCTTCTCCCCGCCTCCCGGCAGGAGCAGGCCAATGGGGTGGCGCGAGTGGACGACGGGCGGCGTTGACTGGAAGAGGGCGAAGGCTCGCGCCGCGAGGGGCGTGG